CCAGCGACCCCTTCCCCATGCTGCGGAGGAAGGCGAAAAACCTCCAGGGCCTCTGCCAATCTACCCTGGAGGAAAATTCCTTCCCGACCCCAAATATGGCAATCAGCAGAACCCCGAGCATGTGGGCAAGATTCTCCAGCCAGACCCGCATTGACCATTGACCTTCAATGGCACGTTATTGATCTATTGACTAAAATCCCGTTATCCCATCAAACCATCCCCTCCATAAACTTATCAAGCTTAATCTTAAAGCCAGAGAGGTTTCACCCCCACTGTTTCCCTCGGAAGGCTGTTCCAGAACTTCACCCCTCTTACGGTTAGAAACCGTCGTCTAATTTCAAGCCTAAACTTCCTGACGGCCAGTTTATATCCATTTGTTCTCGTGTCCACATTAGTACTTAGCTGAAATAATTCCTCTCCCTCCCTGGTATTTATCCCTCTGATATATTTAAAGAGAGCAATCATATCCCCCCTCAGCCTTCTTTTGGTTAGGGTAAACAAACCGAGCTCCTCGAGTCTCCTTTCATACGACAGGTTTTCCATTCCTCGGATCTAATACACCCCACTCAAGAAAGCAACAATATAGGAGAAAAGGTGCACAAAAAGTAAGACTGCCAGGCCTACCTAGAAGAGCCTCACTGGAACAGCCATCTTGAAACTACAGAGGCCTGGTCCTTCTAGGGCTAGAAGGGCTACCAACAGCCAATCAGAGCCCAGCAGGCTCAGATAAAAGGAGATGCAGGGCCCTAGTAGGCCAGTCCCTGGCCTACACCAGAGGATTAAAGAAGTATGCTTCTCTCTGGTTATAGGAGCATGAGGATTAGCCAAGGTTTATTGCTGACTGGGTTTGCGTAGAGAGAGAGGCGGCTGAGAACTTTGACCTTAAAGTAAGGGTGAAGATAAAGAGGCCTAGGGAAGTAGCAGCAGTAAGTTGAATTGAGAAGTATCTGTTTGTTGTTTATTGGGTTCTTGGGTCAGAACCTGGAGTAGTGGGTGGGCCCAGGATCCCCAAGAAGTGGACAGGGCTCACTTGGAAGCCCTAGAGAAAGATTAAATTTAAAGGACCCAAAGTTGAGGCTGAAGATCTTGGCGAGGGCAGATAGACCCTTAAGCCCCTATAGAGATTTTTGCCCATGAGTCTTATGGTATAACTGTAGAACTGATAGAATAACTCACAATGTTTGATGTATTAAACCTCTTTTTCATTCATGAATATTTTGGGCAAACACTTCTTGTAGATTTTATGAGAAGAGGTTGTTTTCAGTAATCAGTGAACAAGGTTAAATTTGTCTAGGTCACATGGTTTGTTTCTATTCCCTAAATGAATGAACATAATTCCTACAATCATGTTTCTGGTGCAAGTACTTATAATTACGAATTCAAAATGTGCTTTTCACCAGTATTCTCCAGTATTTTGCTTATAATTCATTGTTCTCAGGAAATATTACTGCTAGCAAACTAATTGACTAGAATATTCACAGAAAAAATGGACACAAAATAAAGCCATTTCAATTTGTGAAGGAATATTTTAAGGCTTTTGTTGGCTTTGCTCAGCACTAGAGGTGGTCAAAAAAATTGACAAGTTTTTTGCATCTAAAAAAGTCATTCTTTCTCTTTCTCAAGTTATTTTCTAGAGCTGACACTCAGGCCTGCCCATGAGGGGAGCAAAGGGGGCAATTTTCCAGAGGCCTGGGTGATTTAAAAGGGCTTGGGAGCCCCGGGCCTTTTTAAATCACCCGGGCAGGTTGCAGGGCTCCTAGGCGCGTGCAGGATGGTACCAGCGGAGCCGAAGGCAGCCAGGTGGGCATGTGGAAGCCCTGGCCGTGCCGGAAGAGCGCAGCCAGCAGCACAGCCGGCAGCACAGCCGGCAGCACAGCCGGCAGCAGCGGGCACGGCTTGTGTGTGTGTGCGTGCACCAGCCCCACATGTGGTCCAGCGGCACACGCATATGGTGACACCACACCGGGCCAGCAGCAGCACGGGGCCCGTCTCCAGCCTGCCCTGCATGATGCGCAGCAGCAGTGACTCCCCACCCCAGCGACCCTTTCTAGGGGGCCCATTGACTGTTCTGTCCTGGGGCCCGGAATTGCTGTTGGTGGGCCTGGAGACACTAATAACAGTCAGAATAACAGGTCTCTTCATACTGGATCCTCATGATTATGGAAAAAAGAGTCTTGATCATATTCTGTTTGACTTTTAATTTTGTCTTTCTAATTAAAGTTCTAGATTATATCAGCAAAATGGTGTTTCGGGTTTGTTATTCTTTCATTGCTGTAGTACTGCTGAAACAATGCTAGTCTTACATTTCCTTTGAGTAATAGATGATAGTAATAGATATGCTTTATTTGAAACCAATGTTTCATGGTCAGAGACAGAACTGGGGTCTACAAATACTTGCATAAGTATTGAGGCAGCTAGACTAAATGTTCTCTGTCCCCTTATCTTTCTTTGCATAAGTGATTTAAAAAGTTGGTGATGAAAGATACCCCTGATCTAAAGTAGACACTTAAGTGCAGAAGAAATACAGCTAGTGCATTCTCCACTCTGAGTAGTTCTTAATCAAGGGACCAGGTTTTCTGATACAATGAAATTTAGACCAAATTTCAGTAAAAGCCAGATGACCAGCTGCTTTAGCACAGGTGGAACTGCAATGAGCACCTACAGGAAGAAGATGGAAGAAGTATGTTCCTGTTTTCACTTTTCTGACCCTACTAATACCATAACTATAATTCATTAATTAAGGGGCAGATTATGAACCTCTGATCAATTATTTACATAAGTAGTCCCATAGACTTTAATGTGATCATTTAAGTGACATATGGATGCATCCAACTAAAACAAACATCAGTTTAGAAATACACACAATGAGCAGCAATACAAATTCCCCAACCACATCAACCATCCACTAAGAAAGATTAGGAAAGAAAATGGTCTATGGATTAGACGCTGTGAAGCCAAAATTCATTGAAAAGGTGAGCTTTACATGGTATGTGGAAACCTAACAAGCTGGGTTTTAGCAGAGTGTAAGAAGGAATGTGCTCCAGAACTGAGGAACAAATCATAGACAATGACATAGGAGCACAAATCTAAAGTGTGTCTCTAATGTTTCTGTAGATCTCAGCTGCCGCAGTGGAGTATAAGGAGAGGGGAGACCACTAAGTGAGCCAGGCCCATAATCACCGAGGGCCTGATTCTGATCCATCTGACAACAGTGTAAGAGTTATGTCAGGCCCTTGTGCAGAAGCACAGGGGAAGGCACAAGGATTCTCCCTTACTGCTCCTTGTGACACTGTGCACAACTGAAGTCCCTCTGCTTTGGGGCACAAAGATGATAGCTAGTGTGGGAGATACCTGCCTCTTCTGGGAAAGTGAAAATCCTGAGATTTTAATCCTGGCTGCTCCCTTCTCCCTGTCTCTGGGGCATCTTTTTATAACATGACCAAATATATAGAGATGTTTTAACTCAGGAAAACAATATATTCCTCTGCTTTATGTGATGCTGGACAATAGTGTATCTGAAGAACTCAAGAACTGTCATCTAACCACCCAAAGCGGGCAGGTAGGAGGCAGAGCCAGGTGCTCCATGGGGAGCGGGCTGTACTATCCTAAAAGACACACACCGGGCTGTTCAGAAAGAGGTTGTACCTTTCTGGTCTCCCAGCGTCTTCTCCAACAGGAGCCAGCTGCTAAATGGCATTGTTTGGCCCTGTGGAGTTGCAGCAGTGTCAAAACAGTGTAACTAAGAGAAAACTCGTCCATAGTGTTTGACAGATTAAAACCAAAATGCTGACTTGCACCTGCAAGAAGAGAGTAGCCACGTAGACAATGCACAGAGTAGACAATGCACAGAGAGTTTGTACTTCATGACTGAAGCTAAACATTAATGAGGCTGGAATTAGCATACCTAGTTAATGAAAAATCTTCAGTTTTAAAGAAAGATTCCAATCCTGCTTGAAAACCCACTTTTCATGGAGCCTTTTACAGGCTCACTGACCATCCCTCCATACCATCTTGCAACTGTAAGGCTCCCCCCGTTCATCAGACTGATCTGAGTTAGAGTATTAACTCTGCTCATCAAGCACCATCTGTAAAGTGTTCTGCATATTTACAACGTGCTATAAAAATAAGAATTTGAACTCTGTAACTGGCACAGAGCTGTTTGAACACTCACTCCAAGTTCTAATTGCCAATCTGGGCACTATCACTTTGAGGGTGAAGTCTGGAAATAAGGATCACAACATGAGTTGGGGCTGAGAGGAAAAAACAGATGACATCTTAAGTAAAGTTTGCACACTCAAATTATTTCCCCAAATACACAATGCTCTATGTTATTTACTACCCAAATTTTGTCCACTCTCCTTCCTCAAACTTGTAATATATCTGACAATGTAAACAGACTGTTCATCACATTTTCTAAAAATTGAGTCTATTGCTTTAATATTATTCTTCAACTGCTATTTTTTATACAAGGGATAGTATTCTTACCTCAGTGCTTATTATTATTCCATATGGGTGCTGTTTACCCTTGTTAGAGGGTCAGCCCAAGGGGCTCTGCAACAAATAGAGCTCACCCCACCTTCTCTCCCTTCAGAGTAGCGTGTAGGAGTAGCTGCTACACTGAGGATCTCTGAACTCCTTGCATGCTAGGGGGGGGGGGGGGGGAGACTTTATACTGGCTTTCATGGATCTATTTAGTCATAAAACCCCTGCATAGGGGTATTGAGGAGCTGAAGCTACTATTCCATCCCAGAATCTACAATAATAGCAATAGAGGAACTGTGCTGGAACCCTCTATCCTTATCCTGGCCACATCCTGGGGCTGTGGATTCCCTCAACCCCTATGGCATTTCCTGGCACAAAGACAAATAACTCAGGACAATGGGGAGGAAATTTCACCGCTTGAAAAAACTGCTTATTCCATCAAACTATAGTTTACAATTCAATTCTATATCACAAATCTATATTACTAGTAGCAGGATTAAAGTCCATAAAATACTTACAGTTCTTTGCATTAGTAGTGTAGCTTCGGAGCAACCTATCCCTTCGTCATTAAAACTTGATTCCATATTGATGATGTCATCAATAACCTCCTCCATCTAAGAAAATAATAGTTTTAAACTATTAATGACGATCCATATTTTTGATAATATGAAACTAAAGAGAAAATAAACTGCAATCAACAAAAGTGAATTAAAAACAAAGATCAAATTCTTAAGCCTCATACAAACTTTACTATCTGTGCAGGATTTTTATGTATATTAGTTCCCATGAGTAAAGTAAAAGTGGTTGTGGTTCACTACGTTACTTTCTTCCCTGAATACCAACAGCCCTCTACCCATTCCCCCTTTCTGAGCCTACCACATTGTCACACCAAGATCAGATGTTAGAAGGGTTGTGGGTAACTAGTAACCATCAATCCCAACCCCTCTCAAGTGTGTCACATCCGTAACACATTTGTCTACTGGTCCAGGAAGGCTGCCAGGAATCTGTGGTTGTTCAAGAATCCGGGTCACTCATACTGCAGCATATAATGCTGCTGCCAAAATTCAGCAGGTTGAGTAATGTGTTGTATGTTGAAGCACACAAGCTCATGATACCTCAGTTTAGATATTCATTCCAAAGATTGGACACATATCCAGAACAGCCTGTCTGGTCCTAAACCAGAATCAGAAACTGCTGAAACATGTGATATTGATGAATAATTAAACAGAAAAAAAAGTTAAAATACTTTTTGAAACCTCCATAAAAGTTCAGTTTGGGTTCAGTTTGAATTTTGAGTAACAGTCTGGTTTGGTTCACAGATGCCTTGTTTTCTTAACAAAGCAGCCCTGAAGAAGGCCTCATAGTCAAATACTGTTGCTAATTCTGTTGTCTATAGATAAGATTTACTCATGCTAGGAGGGTTTGTACAAGGGGAGCTTGTCCCTACACTGGGGTACTGGATTCCACTTCCCCAGCCCTTTCACACTCCACTGACATAGAACTCTACTACTCAGGACATATGTAGGTGGAAAGGATTTCACACTGTGGTAACAGCATATTTGTCAGTCTTTTTTGTTCTATTTAAATCCCATCATGGGATAAAGCTGCTCCCTTTCTTATGCCATTGGATGAATTCTCCTTTTGCTAGTATGCAACATCTCTTGAAATCTACTGAAGTACTGAAGACCAACATGATCTATATCTGACTGCATAAGATGTACGGGCCAGGTCCTCAGCTGGTGTAACTAGGTGTAGCTCCACTGAAGTCAATGGTAGTGCTGAAGTCAATGGAGCTACACAGATTTACACCAGCTGAAGATTGGGCCTATATAAAATACAGCAATTAACTGAAAAATTAATGAGTGGGTTGTTGCATCTACAATTTAGTCTGATCTGGTGTTTAACTTCATTATATATTTGAAATAATATTATTAGACAGAAATAACAAGGGTTTGTACGTACAGGTGCATATTCAAAAAACGGACAGTAATATACTACTGTCAGATTTTGCATTTGACATGCATTCTGAAAATACAAAATATCCAGGTATATACTGAAAGTTTAAGTGTCTGATCCTGCAAGCAGCTAGTCACACTGGCATTCAGAATCCACGCACTTCAATGGGACTGCTTGTGTAAGCAAAGAGTACTCAGGTGAACAAGGGCTGCAAAATAAGGCCATAAGAAAGGGAACACTGATGTGATGCAGGAAAGAACTGGTACACATACATTTAATTATTATTCACAAGTAGCACTAGGTGTGCAAGATAACCACCATTCTCCCATACTTGCCCTCAGCCCTGCCTGTATCTTAAACGTACATGCCATACCACATTTTCATGTTGTCCTCCAAGACCCAGTAACTTGGTAACTGGACTTTCTGGAGCGCCAATATCGCTGACAGGAGGCATATGTCCGTTTCTTGGAACGGGTGTAGCTCCTGCAGGCTGGACTGTATGGCAGTGGGACAGTGAGAGGGTTTGGCTGGAGAGCTTGGTGTCAAGTGTCAGGTATTGTTTCACTTGGTGTTTCTGGCTTTGCTGAATGTGATGTCTAGATTGATTTTCCAAGTGTGTTTGTACCTGTGGGGAAAAGGAAATAATTTTTGAAGTTTACATTTATCAATACAATTATTTATACATAATGTTGCTTTATAATCTAATTGTGGTAAAGAAGAACATAAAATGCCAGATCTTCAGTTGGAGTAAATAGATGCATTTACTTTAATGGAGCTACGCTGACTTAAACCAGGTGAAGATCTGGCCCTTATATCAGCATTGTAGAATCATTATAAATCTCAATCTTTGGTAGATTTCACTCCCTTATACATTAATTAGATACTTCACATACCATTATTCCCCTCTCCCTTCCTTAGGGCTACATAATTTGTTTACATGACCAGACGGGGGAAAGAGGGGAGAGAAATACAATCACTATACATAATCTTGAGAATACCGAGTAACTGTGGTACATTTCTTTCCTTTTTTCAAACTCATTGTTCATCTCTAATTGAAAACACTGACCATACCTGCAAAAAATGGCAGTCAAATGTTTAAACATGCATGCACAATAAAACATATTGTTTTATACGTGTCACAATGAATAAACGGAATCTAAACCAACATGTAATCTAACTGTGTTTCAGTAATTAAACAGCAGCATTCATTCATCAAATCTCATAGTATATTTGATTGGCTCACCTTGTAGTAAGAACAGTCTGTTAAATGAGGCATTTTTGTATTTTTGCAAAAGGAAAATTTCAGATACAATCCTAGATGGCTACTAACCAACCCCAAACCAAACCGTCTTCTACAGGCTCCACTTGAAGAATGACAATTTTTGAAGACGATGGGATTTTATAAACTAAGTGGTCATGCCAAAAGAGCTAATTGAGTAAGACTTTGGGCCATCCTTTAATTGCACAGATTGACAATTACTACTTCAAACGGGTCCCATTTCAGATCAATGTCACATTCCTACAATTCAACCACCACAAACTGTACTGTCATTTCAGCCCTGTGGCTCTCTTTCTATGCCACGGTATGACTAGTCACAAATTTCTTGTAATCAATTTTCCTCAAGTGGCCTTTGTGCAGGCATGTTTAATATTTCTTACACAGTAGTAAATCTTGCTTTACAGCCCTTATTTTCTCCATTTTTTCACTCTACTTAAATAAACTTCTTTTTAATTCCCCTAACATATATCAGCACAGACAAATAGCCCATAAAAAGTGTTTTGCATTTAAATTAGCTGTATTTTGGTACAATATTGCAGCATTTATTTTATTTTAATAGTGTTATGCTGGTACTTTGCAAATTATTTTAATTGTGGCTCCCATAAACTAATTTTTTCAGTCATATAAAAAGATTAAGATTTGCAATAACAAATATACATCTACATTGCTATAGTGTACGTGATATAGGCTTTAAAGACATTAAATTGCATTTCAGTAGAACATCGCTGTAAAATTTTAAGAATGCTGTTTAGACGATCCTATAATTTTAAGTTATGAATATATACATCCTATGAATAGCTGTTGTATATTCATATATATTTTGGAGTCATTTAATTCACAAGAAATATTCATAGATTCCAAAGCCAAAAGGGATCATCGTGATCATCAAGTCCAGGGGTCGGCAACGTTTGGCACGCGGCACGCCAGGGTAAGCACCCTAGCGGGCCGGGCCAGTTTATTTATCTGCTGACGCGGCAGGTTCGGCCGATCGCGGCCCCCACTCGCCGCGGTTTGCCGTCCCGGGCCAATGGGGGCGGCGAGAAGCGGCGCGGGCGAGGGATGTGCTTGCTGCGGCTTCCCGCCGCCCCCATTGGCCCGGAACAGCGAACCGCGGCCAGTGGGGGCCGTGATCGGCCGAACCTGCCACGTCAGCAGGTAAATAAACTGGCCCGGCCCGCCAGGGTGCTTACCCTTGCGAGCCGCGTGCCAAACGTTGCCGACCCCTGATCTAGTCTGACCTCCTGTAAAACACAAGCTATAAAACTTTCCCCAAAACATTCAATCTTGATTTAAAAATTGTCACTGATGGACAATCCACCACACCCCTTGGTAAATTATTCCAATGGTTAATTACACTCACCATTAAAATTTATGGTTTATTTCCAGTCTAAATTTGTCAGCTTCAACTTCCAGCCATTGGATCGTGTATACCTTTCTCTGCTAGACTGAAGAGCTCGTTATTAAATATTTGTTCCTGTAATGGGATTTACAGGACATAGGCAGAGGAGAGAGGAGCACCTTCCTCACTGAGAGGCAACCAGGTTGAGCACACTGGCACAGAACTGCCAGAGACACAGACCCACAGCTAAGACCAGTAAAGAAAACAAGCCCAGCTATAAGGGAAGGAGAACAGGGAGAAAGGAGGCAGAAGGGCTTGAGATGGTGGAGGGGCTACAAACCTAGGCTGCTCCAGAGAACTGATAGGGAGGTAAAAGAAGACTGCAAGCCCTGGGGCTAATTTGAGTTAAATAGAGGAGAGACAGTTTTGTGAAAAATGGGACACCAAAACGGAACTACACACAGAATCTTTAACAGTTCCCCATATAGGTACTTATAGACTGTAATCAAGCCATCGCATAACCTTCTCTTTGTTAAGCTAAATGGATTGAGCTCTGATTCCACCACTATAAGGCATGCTTTCTAATTCTTTACTCGTTCTCATGGCTCTTGTCTGAACCCTCTCCAGTTTATCAACATCCTTTTTGAATCGTGAGCACCAGCACTGAACACAGTGTTCCAGCAATGGTTGCATCAGTGCCAAATACAGAGATAAAATAACCTCTATGCTCCTTTTTATGTATCCCAGGATTGAATTAGCTCTTTTGGCCCCCACATCAGAGGGGAAGCTCGTGTTCAGCTGATATGCATCATGATTCAGTGTCTCTGCTTCACAGGATAGAATCCCCCATCATGTAAGTATGACCTACATTCTTTATTCCTAGGTATATACATTTACATTTAGCTGTATTAAAACACATCTTCTTTATGTGCATCCAGTTCACCAAGTGATCCAGATCACTCTGAATCAGTGACCTGTCCTCTTCGTTATTTACCATTTCTTCAATTTTTCTAAAACTGAAAAATTTGTCAGTGATGATTTTGTTTTCTTCTAGGACATTGATAAAAATGTTAAATAGCGTAGGACCAAGAATCAGGCCCGGCAGGACCAAACTGGAAACACACCTGCTTGATGACAATTCTCTGTTTACAATTACATTTTAAAACATATCTGTAAACCAGTTTTTAATCCACTTAATGTGTGCCATGTTCATTTTATATTGTTCTACTTTTGTTGTGTGGTACCAAGTCAAACACCTTAAGAAGTCTAAGTATATTACATCAACACTATTACTTTTGTGATCCAAACTTGTAATCTCATAAAAAAATATCAAGTTAGTTTGACAAGATCTATTTTTCCATAAAACTATGTTGATTTGCATTAATTACATTATCCTCCTTTAATTGTTTATTAATTGAGTCCTGTATCAGCTGTTCCATTATCATGCCTGAGATCAATGTCAGGCTGACAGGCCTATAATTATCCAGTCATCCTCTTTACCCTTTACAAAAATGTATAAAAGCTTTCTTGCAGTCTTCTGGATCTTCCCAGTGCTTCAATACTTTTTGAAAATCAGTATTAATGATCCAGCAAGTTCCTTGGCCAGCTCTTTTAAAACTATAGGATGCAAGTTATCTAGACCTGCTGATTTAAAAATGTCTAACTTTAGTAGTTTTTGTTTAATGTCCTCCAGAGATGGGAACAGAAATAATGTTATCACCATATGATGAGATTATATCATCTATTTTTCCCCAAATACAGAACAGAAATATTTATTGAATACTTTTGCCTTTTTTCTGCAGTATTATTGATAATTCTGCCATTTTCATCTAGTCATGGACCAACACTATTATCAGGATTCTTTTTGTTCCTAATATATTTTTAAAACTCCTCCTTATTGTCCTTAACTATGCTTACCATAGATTTCTTCTTGTGCCCCTTGGCTTCCCTTCTCAATTTTCTACAATTCCTAACTTCTGATTATATTCATTATTATCAACTTCCCCTTTCTTCCATTTGTTAAATATTGTTTTTTATTTTGTACAGCTGCCTTCACTCCCCCTCAAAACCAGTTATTTATTTATTTCTTAACTAATAAAGCCTTCTTCCTTGATTGAGGGCTCTTTGAGAGTCCAGTAAGCTGTTATTAAAATATTCACATTATTTTCATTAAATTCTTCCTACTACATAATTTGGCTCATAATTGTTTTCAGTTTTATGAAATTGGCCTTATTAAAGTATCATAAATATATTAATTGTCTGGACTTTATTCTGTGTGCACATTATAAATTTGATCAAGCCATGATCACTTGTACCTAAGCTACCATTAATTTTTAGTTCTATGGTCAGTTCCTTTTTATCTGTTGAGACAAGGTCTAATAAAGAATTCTCCTGTGCTGGCTGCAACACTTTTTGAGTTAGGAAATTGTCATTTATAATGTTTAGAAATTCCAAGAATATTTTAGTATTGGCAGCATGAGACCTCCAGCAGATGTAACTCAAACTGAACTTCCCCATGATAACACACCTTTTTTCCCCTACACATTATAGATAGGTATGCAAGAAAGTGGCCATCCTCTTCCCAGATATGATTTTTGTCTGTGGCAGCCACCAATATTTCATCTTGTGCTTTATCTATTAGCACATTGATCCATAAGCATTCAGGATCATTTTCTTCTGAGTTATCAGTGACTTAGAAACAGGTAATGCCATTTTTGACATAGTGCCATTCCCCCACCCCTTTTGCCCACTCAGTCCTTCCTAAATAGGTCATAACCACTGATTTTAACCCTCCAATAATGTAAATCATACCACCAGGTTTCAATAATACCAACTAGATCAAATGTATACCCATAAAAATAGTTAGGTCTTACTTGGAATTTTCATGGTAGTTTGGGAAAGTAATGTGCCGTTAATTAAGGCCTCAATTCATCAAATCACGAAAGGATGTGTTTAACTTTAAACTTAAATCCATCCCTACTTATCAAAGTAATTAAGTATGTGCTTAAATCCCTTTAACTTCATTTGGATTTAAGCCCGTGCTCAAATTTAAGCATATGCTGCTGAATTAGGGCCTAAGTGTAAAAATCTACCCCATGCCCATTAAGCTACGGAATTTGAACACTCTATGAGTGGTTGGGAACTGACCCCAATACAGAACCAGGGTACAGAATTACTGTGTAGCCTTCCTTTATGCTGCCATTCCACAAAGAGCCACAGGTCCTCCATACTAGTTACACATGGTCCTAGAGCCATTGCAAAGGAGTGAATGTATGTCCCCTCTCCTAGCCTACTCGAACTTCCACACTGCCTAGGCTGGTGCAGAAACACTTCCTGTGGTGCACAGACATCCAAATTCAGCAGTTTTGCTAGTAGAACCCCCCGAGTTCCTTTGCATGGCATAACAGATGAGGAGGACTTTGCACCGGCTCTCCATACCAGTTTCTTCTTAAACTGAGGGGGAAATCACTCTATCATGTATGAAAAAATGGCTTGGAGATTCAAATTCCTGCAGGAAATATTGAAACCACACTACTAGATGTAAAACATAAACAAAAAGGAATGTATAAAGCATTTGTAGTTCATTAGATTAGTCTACGTTGCCTTAATTTAAATTGCAAACTAGGAGATTTAATCAATTAGTTGATTTTATTACCAG